GTATGTATATATCGTTTTGTAATCTTTATATATATATATATAGTGGCGTATATATATAGTCATTTTTGTAATGGAATGTTGTATATAATCACACACATGCAGTTGCTGTGGGTTAAAGTGATACTGACCTTATCTACACGTGCATGTGCATGGGGCTGTATATCCTATACACGGAGGGCAGTGTGTCCACAGGAATGGGTAGTCGCGGGCTGCATAGTGTGAAGTGGAAGCAAGAGTGTTCCGTGATGAGAGAGATTGGTATTACTTTTAAGTGTTACAACATTGAACAGATAGACTCAGAACCTTGCGTATCTACAGATGCTGCTGACCAACTTGATATCGTATGTTATCTATATCCCGCCTATCAATTCGTACACTTGTAGCTGATATAGTATCATGGCGTTCGCTCATATCACTGTCCTATTACATATACAATGTAGCGCTAAATATACACATGATAGAACAGGTTTAGAGAGGATACCGGTAGAGCAGTTGACACTTCATCATGGCTTACCCCTGAATGCGGAGACATTGGTGATCTCAGATGTACTAGTACAGAGAAGTACCTGGCGACAGGCACCCTTAAGCACATACACACGTGTTGATGTGTATATATGCCTATCCAACAATCGTGTGAGTGGTAATATATGTATGTATGTGTTTATATGCTTATACACACAAATGTGTCACCCTTAAGCACACACACACACACGTACATATATTACGACTCCTACGATTGTTGGACAGGCATATATACAAATGAACACGCCAATCTCAGTAGTCGCACACACAAAATGTGTACTCAGACGCTACCCGTTCATATTGATTTCGGAGATCACCTCTGCAACGTTGCTTGTCTGAGTGGGGCTTGCCTAGCACTTCACTCAAATGTATTGTTCGTATCGAGTTAACTCACAATAACACCGTATCACGTGCATTCTATATCTTCATATATACTATGGGATGCCTAAACCCTAAAACCCTAAAACCCTATATCCCTAAAACTCTCAACCCTAAAGTACTATCAGAAACTTTCCACACCATTGATGTTTGTCTGAACACTTGTCACCAGCATATAAATACAACGCCACGATCCAAGCACGAATCAATCCGGTAGCCACACACAGGCAAAAATTCATAAAAGTATCAGTTTATCATCCGACCTCTCGTACAGTGTATATTAATAGAACAACCAATCACATGGCTGTGCTGGTACAGGGTTGTACACATCCTTGGGTGTTCAGCGAATGTCGACGTCACCTGTCTGGCGGCGTTCGGCAATGCTCGCGCGTTTCGATTGGGACTTAGCAACACGCACGTGAACGGCATGTCTCAGATTGTGTTGGAGGATTTTGAAGTACATTCGTGTCGAGGTATGTGTTTTGAAGAAAGTCAGGGCAGTGGTATATATTGGACAAATACCGAGGGGTGTTAGAATTCTGGAGCATGACAGGATGAATGCGATTGGATGATGGTTAAGTTGTGAATTGTGATTGGCCCTCATTTTTGGGGACACACCCACTGGAGGTGCTCTGCCAGTCACTACTGTACCCACTGTGGACTACGTATTATAATTTAAAACAAGAGGATTTTGATTTGTCTTTCTGGTTGACAATTCATTGTTCAGCTACTAAGCTTATGCCAATAGATAGTCGCGCCGTATATACACCCATGTTTGGATGTACAGGTGCTTATGTATACCTACACACATTATGGTCACTGCTCCCACATGTATTTCTATTTATATCTGCACCTATGTTTGGATGTACAAGTGCTTATGTATTCCTACACACATCATGTTCACTGCTGCACTCACAGGTAGTTCTAATTTTAGACACAGCTCACATTCACATTTATTCCACAGACCACGCCATGCACCTCCGAGCTGACTCTGTGGCATTACATGGGATGACCTTATACAGTCTAAAACCGGACCTTGATCATGGCTTTTTTTCCAAGCCCAGGTGCGTTGGTAGTGGGGCTAGGCTTTTGCGATGTATATGTGTGGTATCTGAGTTCTCATACTATGAGACAGGTGAGTAGTTACGGTACGGAAACAGACGTGTTGCGCATGTCTGTTTGTGATGAGCAGTTGGGTTATAGATATCTGATGTCTCGACTCACAATACAGGCACAGGTAATAAAGCAGATACTAAACCCTAAACCCTAACGGTACAAACATGGTGTACATTCCTGGTATTTTGCTGATCAACATGAGTGCATGTGCTGTCTATCCGCAGATCGTATTTTAACTTTTAAATTAGAGCACCATATTTTAACCTGTTCAATTGAAGTACCATATTTTAACCTTTTATATTTGAATAGGGTTGCAAGAAGTATCATATACTACATTTACAGCTACATGGGAAGCCCAACCTTCTCTTTCGAAGAAGCAGTTATGGGGCTTGGCTTGATAGTTATGCGAGAATTGTATACACATCATCGACAATTGATACGACATCGACTGTGGTTCAATCAATGCGGGCAGTCTGGCGCAGAAAGGCCAATATATATATATATGTATATGTTTTATATGATATATATATATATACATACATATATATATATGTTTTTATATGATATGTATACATAATAATGCCTGGGCGCAACTGTTCCGTACCAGACTACCAGTCTCTTATGCGTATGTGTACTGATAGATTGTAATGCACCACATACGACTTGCTTGTCATGCCTTTTTTGATTACAATCTGTCATGCATGTTACAAATGAGTGCTATTGATAGAACACTTGTTGTATAAATAGACAGAGCTGGTCAGACTTCTCAGTATCAAATGGCACAGCGAGAGGATACGACACAGGGTATATATATA